ACCCTCCCACACACACAGACACACACACACACATATCTCAGAAACCACAGCTTTCTCAACTGCAGGGGTACTGGGAACGAAGCTAGGGACAAACATTTAGGGGTCTGGGGTATGCACTCAGCTAAAAACGGTCAGTATAAACCATAAAACCTGAAGCTGCCAAGTATTCACCAACTATATCAACATCACCCAGAATGGATATTTGCTAAATGGCCAAAAGTTGGGCTGATGCTAGGCACCATTTTTCCACTTTATCATAGTTGTATTATTCATTAGTTTAATTGCATAGCTAACGTGTTATTAAAGGCAGCACAACACTGAGTCTGATTTAAGACAGAGGTTCCCAACCGTATTGGATTATGACTTATCAAAATGAAGGTATGTGTATTTGCATGGCGGCCATTTCACCCAAATATTATAATTGTTTTGACAAGAACTCTATATGTAAAACTATAAAGAAACTCCAAAGTCAAAAAAAGTGAAAAAATAAATAATTTTCTGCAGCAGAAATGTTCGGTTTTCTGAACCTGTGACTCGTCACTCAAGACTTTAATTTATCCTAAAACCCCTACCAAGAAACACATAGGAAGAAGTACTGAAACCCTATATTGTTGTGGAAAAGAAGTGTTCACTTAAAAACGAGATATTGAAAGAATAAATCCCAATGAAAAAATCCCAGCCTCTTTCTTTCGAGAATTTCTGCAAACATAAACGCTTCTTAAATAAATTCCTTTCCTCCTTCCATAGCTTTAATGGATTTCCTATTAATTTGAAATTTGAGCCCTCAGCAAATAAAGTCACCTTCACAATGGAAAATGGGACAGTGACAAAAATCCTCAAGGACACTCAAAATGAAGATAAGAAATAAGTTCTAAAATATGGAATAACATACTGTTTGCATGTCCAGAAGAAGCGTATGTTCACGTAAGCAGCTACACTCAAATCTAAAAATTCCAAATAAATGTTGTTTTTACTAAGCGAGGACAGATGGCGTGCTGGTCTTCAGGCTCCTAAGCCTTGACGTCCAGTGCTGAAGTTATTTCCACACGCCATCTCCTCCCCTACGCCTTTTGATCCTGTGGAAATCTGTCCAACACATTTATGGCCGGAGCTACCGCAATGTGTGTACAGGTCTGGCACAAACTCAGTGAGAGGTGAGTCTGAATCGCTACATTTCATATCTTAAAAATAGGAAATGAGTCCCAAATGTAGCTAATCTGTTGGAGCTACTAGATAGACGGTGAGCGTTTAAACACTAGAAACAGGTATACACTGATATAGTGTTTATGTAAAAGGAAATTCATCCACGCGCTGTTTTCGTAAAGATGATTTAGTCTATAATTTAGTATTCAGACCTTTTTTTTGTTGCTTTAAAGTCTACTTCCAAAAGCCTTTACCAGCAGACAAATGCTAACTGACATTCAAGCTAATCTAAACCACCTTGGTAGAGTAATTGTGATGGCCTTAACTTCAAAGTACTTCTCCACAAAGTGTTGACATTATATTGTCTGTATATTTACATGGCTTCAGGCACGTCTAGTCAGACACAATGGCCTGGGAAAGACTCGGACAAAGAAATAGTCCTCGTTTTGTTTCAGGACCAGACACTGTTTTGTGTAGATGTAAATGTAGACATCCACACGGAGGCCATTTTAAGAACAATGCTATCACAATGAATTCTTAACCACACTTGTACAACTTCAGCCTTGTTACAGTCAGCACAAAACGTGCCACAGAAGTCCTTTCCCACACATCCATTATGCTAAAAGCTCCGCAGTATTCCATCACCGCAACTGAGGCCTTGATTTTTCCTGCACATATTGAACACAGGTGCACATTGTGAGACAATAGCTGCCAGAATACGTTTTTTACGAGAGCTCAACAAACGCCTTATAGATGCAGAAAATACATAAATCAAGTGCACGCTCACAGGCAAAGGGACATGCACAGAATTGCACACGAGACAATTCATTCTTCATCTTCACCAAGGACGTTGTTTGGTTTTGTTTTTGTCAGCTGGGTCACCAAATAAACGATATTCATGACTTAATGGAAAGATGCAACATGGGCCAAAGAAGAAACCATTTCATTTTGGAAGGGATCTGAATCACGGGGCGGATGAATAAAGTGTTTTTCACTCAAGTAAACAGCCGTGGCGAACGTCTCTTTATAGTTTGGTTCAGAGATGGCATCAATATATTTTTGTTTTTGCTAATTCCTGAATAAGTTGCTTGTTTTATAGTTCTCTGCAACAGATAAATGATATTGCAACATGTGTTCTAAGGTACTTTCTTCAGCTTTGCATACCGCCCCTACGGCTACATTGTGATGAGGGTGGAGGGTGTGAGATTGTGGCGCAGAGAGGCCTCCACACATGGGAGTGTTAAATCTCCAGATGCTTCTAATTCTCCCTCATGGGTCTCTTCTGGATAAGTGTGTAAACCGCATGCTAATGTGTGCAACCTCTGACTGTGATATCTTGTCAGTATGAGTGTGCCACTTTTTGGTATGTGAGACATGGGCAGGAAATAAGAGCCATCCTCCTATAGCTGATGAAGACAAAGGGACTGAATGACTCTATGGGGTCAATGAAGCCAAACTTTTGGAGAACATCCAAAAACTTTTCCCCAAAATGGGTGACAATGATGGATCGCTCTGAACCCAAAGTGTCTTGCAAGTAATCTGGAGCTATGGGAAAAGTGGCGCTTCAATGACAAATATTTAGGTCATATGGCAACAATACAGCACAAACAATATAAGTGCATGTCAGGGTGTTTAATAAACGAAGACCTCGTCTCAACAAGAGCGTAAAACCACACAACGCTGCACTAGCTCTGCGTAATGAATAAATGTGGTTTGAACTGGGAACACTAGAAGAATTTTCCAAAGTGGAATGGTGGGAGACCCCACACGTAACAATTGTTTTCCCCACACACTTCCTGCTAATGTGAGCAATCTCGACCCAGGATCTCCCCCCCGGGTCACATTATCCTGCATGTGTGTACACTATTGATCACAGAGTGAATGCAAAGAGACAGATTGAAAAAGATTCACACGAAACATTTGCGGCGAGAATAGTGAGGATGCATGAAGAGAAAACAGGATTTGATTAGTGTGTAACAAAAAGGCATCATCAATGTGGTATCAGAACAAAAGGCACATGCTAATTATATCAAACATGCTCTGCTCAAATGTGGCAAGTCTCTGTGAGGGACATTGGGGACACAATGTACCTTTTAAAGCAGTAAACACAAGAGAATCAGCTATTGAAACCTCTGCTATTGGGAAATACAATTCTGAGCATCAAGTGAGGCCAGACGGGTTCATTGGGGTCGGCTCTAAAATGAAACACAGCAGGGTCTTTGACATGATCAAAATGATTACAACCCCCTGCAATTAGAAGAGCTGTGCCTCCCTCTAGTGGTGTGCTACTCCAGCTGCGGGAAGTATGACATGAAGTAGTGTCAACTTGTGATTCTCACCACAGATGAGACAATTCAAATGACTTCATTTTCCATAATGCTCCAGGATCTAAATCTCAACACTTAGAGCACAGACAGCAATCATGACATCCTAGATCATCTCGTACCGTTTCATAAAAATTCTTAATGTATTAATATTTAAACATTTATTTAAGAATTTTATATCAATATTTTTGGATAGCAGTCAGTAGTCGGTACACATGCCAAGGTCATTGTCTCATCAACAATCATCTACATACATTAGCTGACAAGTTAAAGGATTATAGCAGAAAACCATTGAGGACCCTTTACATAGTACTTTGTATTGAAAAGAATAATTGAAAATGCACTTTTTGATCCTTATAACAGAAACACAGTATATTCTTATCACTTTATGTTTGAGGTTAGTGTGGACAAGGCCACTGGTTGTTCTATAAGTAATAGCAGCAGAGGAAAGGGATGGCAAATGATAGATAAGAGAGGGAAATCAACCTTTCGTTAGCTTACAAAGGTCTGCTTCTCCCTGCAGAGAATGAAACCTCAGTGTCAAAGAAAGAATGAAAATAAGTCTAAAATTCACAGAATGATGGTTTGTTAATGTTAAAATGATTCTGTCACATATACATACATACTGTAGCATTAAAAGGTCCCATGTCATGGCCATTTCTACTGATCATAATTCCATTGTTGAGAGCTACTAGAATAGATTTATATTGTGCAATTTTCCAAAATCCATTTAGACCAATACACGGACTTAACGTAACGTAACGGCTCCACGGATTGGTCCATTTGGGTATGGGCACGTCACTGTACCCAGGAAGAAAAATATAAATCTCCAACGAGGCGTTCTGGGGCAGCACAGACAGGTCTTTTCTGTGTTAGAGTTTTACTCCCTACAGGGTGTACTTTGAGGGTTTGTGACTCGGCACACTGTTTACATGCATAAAAAGCTTCATAACACACAAGGGGACGGGTAATAACCGGAAAAGCATGACATGGGACCTTTAAATATCACACACAGTATAGTATATGTCAAGTGCCAACCACTAGATGGGGTTATCGATTCAAGGATTTAGCAACCATTTAAAAATAAATACTTTCACTATTTTATTCACTTATGACTATTTTAAAGAATGTTTATTTTAATAACAGTCATTAAAAAAGCAGTGCAGTTATTTTCCAGAATATAGATATAACTAAATATAAAGATACTAAACTAGATTTTAATTTGCTGCCGTTTATCACAGTGCATTGTCGAATCCCTAAAGCAAATTTTGAGGCACATAATTATTAACAATCATTTACCATCAGACTTGTGAAAGAGGCACATTGTGTTTACAGAATACACAACCAGAAATTCCCTTTCCTCCCAAGCAGTGACACCAGGGTAAACAGTGCCATTACTCAGCAAAATAACACTGATATTATATAAATCTCTGTGCAGTGAAAACATGATAACTCATTTCAGCTCATCATTAGTTCAACAGAGCAGAATGTATTGAGTTACTATTAAGACTGGCTTCTTTTAATATTCTAATGTATCCCTTTGGTCTTTGTTAACAAGGATTTCTGTAGTTGATTCATATTTGTTTCCCCCTTTTTTTCAAGAAGCACATCTCAGGCAAACTGATTAAGCGTTATGCATAATTATTTTTGGATAAACAGTTTGGAAATCAAATCAACGAATGGATTTGTCTGAAGTCAGCAAATAAGTCCTTTGGTCAAGAACAGCCCTATAGTAAGCATGTCCCGTGCATGTAAGCCAAGGAAGTGATGCAAGCAGACGTGTTGTTTCAGCTGGCCGACATCAAATCAGGTTTCAGTCATGTTGTATAATCCTGGATCGGAACAATAAGCAGCCCCTTTGGTCAGTGGCAAGTGTCTATCATTTGGCTTAGATCGCTATGTCAGAGTTCAAGATTTGGAGGTTTTGGTTGGTGGTTTTATTGTCTGTCTTCCTGCTGAAGATGGTGTGTTGTGGGTCTGGTGTGTTGTGGGTCTGGTGTGCTCAGTAAGGTTCCATCTTGATCCTTCTGTATAAGCAGCTGGTGAACACCATGCCACAGACCTGAAAACAGGAAGTGTCGGGTCAAAACGAGCTGCTGTGTGTCACCACGGCAGACTGCCAGGAGCTTGAATGCTATTGGCTGTGAGGACAGAGAAGGGTTATAGGTGATGGGGGATAGAGACAGCTGGAGAGTATGTAGCTGGTTGCTGTGGCGATGGCAGGAGGTAAGCAGCCATTGTTGCAGAAACACGTGTGTGCACAGGCGGATACAAAACAAGCAATGGCGGGGGGCAAAAATACATCAAATGTCATACAAAAACAAAACTTAAAGCAAATGATCTGGTAAATTAAAGTGTTGATGTTTTGGCTAAAAGAAGAAATGTATCCAGTAATAGGTCGGTTTACATAATGTTGTATTCTGCATCAGAAAGCAGGACCATCACAGCCTTAATTCTAACATTGAATACATCATGTTATATTACCAATTTTACAATTACAAACCATATTAAATAATGATGAGAACAGTTTGGGAAACATTTGACTAAAATATCCCTGATAATAAAAAAATAAAAAAGCTAATTTGCTGGACTGCAACCATGTAGCTCGTTTTAGCTATATCTTATAAGGGGTCACAAGAATAAAAAAGCATTCAGATTTAAAACACCTAAGGTAATACAAAACAAAAGTATTATTAAACCAAATTCATCAGGAGGTTTGTAGACCTCTAAAGACTAATGATCTGATGCTGGGGTCTGTGAAAGGCATGCAGAACATTTAAGGATTCACAAGATATGACTTACATAAGCACTAGTATTCCATACTGTACTAAAGCACTATAGAGGGTCCAGAAATAAAAGAACAGCAGGAGCATATAGTGACCTGAGCCGCTGAGCCTGTCAGGCTGAATGGAGGAACAGGCATGTGCCCAGATCCAATCTTTGCCTCTGTAAAAGCCCTCTGAGAAAGCCTCATCGAGCGAGTCTGCACGGTGTATTGACTCATCACACTCTTTCTTAAGAAACACTTCACTTTGTTTTACCACTACCAGTGTCAGCTATGTAGAAAAACAATATTCTGGCTGCTGCGAGAAGAAGAAACAAGCAAAACACTTATTTCCTGTTGGACGGCAGGCGTCTGTCAATCACTATTAAAGAAGCTTAATGTTCATGATAGCCCATTTTAGATTGCTAGTAACTATAGCAACAGAACTAATGCTTTTCCAAATGATAATGCATTAGGAGGTGTCCGAATAAATAACAAAGAAAATAAGAATATGGTGCATTAGCGCTTCTAAAAGATGATCCATGAAAGTAAAGCCGGATAATCACTTGTGATACAAACCATCGTACATTTCTGAATTATTTAGTATTATTTCAAAATCTCTTACCAAATCCACCCCCACTATTAGTTCCCATTTAAAGTGAATCCTGATGATAATGATTGAAACTGCCAGAGATACAGCAAAAAACTCAAATTTCAGAGGCGTTTTTCACTTTTCCCACGCAGCACAGATACTATGAATGAGGCTTTACTGTACAAAAATACAGAACATTACTGTTGCAAACAAAATCAGTGTGCAGAAGCTAGGTTGAATTAATGGAGCCATTCTCATGATGCGTTGGTCTTAAACATCCCACAATAACAACATGCAGAGCAACAAGCTGCGACACACAAGCTGCGGCAGCCGCATGCATCACTCAGCGACAGGCCGTGTTAGAGTGTAAATATGTTCACTGAGTAACCAAGCAGTTTCACATGTAACACAGAGCGGGCAGCCACACAGGGACAGACATGCAGACAGGTGTCAGGTTCCCACTGTGCCTGCAAACCTTGTCTCTCCGGTTGATTAAAGCCCAAAGCTGCCCTAGAGCTAAATCACAAAGTACCGAAGTCCTCCTCCTCTTCTTTATAGAGCAGATAGATAAAGCAGGCGGTCAACACTGCCCCGGCCAGCTGCAGTCACACCACACACACACAAACACACAAACACACACACACACACACACACGGACATAAAGACATAGAGTGCAACAGGGGATAATGAGGGAACGAACATGACAACACAAAGAGACACAAACTCTACATTTCAACAGATCTATATTATTTTCTGACAGTTATTAGAGACGGGAAAGTCCACCGACATTAAGACAGACTGGAAAAGTTGACAGAGACAAGACGAACAGTAAATCTGCAGTACAAAAGGAAAGAGAACTTGGATTGAAATGTGTTAAATACACAGGCTCACATGTAGATCCATTTCTCAGGGCTAGTTCTATATATCCAGCACCTCATCTATATGTGTTGCATAATCCATTCAGATCACAGGGGATGGAAAACGCAGAAAGCTTGATCTCCACGGCAAAAGTTAATGGAAGTCTTTATTTTTAAATTAATACGAATACAATGGTTTAATGACCTCATGAATAAGCGTCTGTGCCTCATACAGTTTCTATGTTTCTCATTAAAGCTGCATGTACGGTAAAATGGTGGATATTCAAGG